GGCTATTCATGCCCGTGCCACCTCTTGGATGGCATAATCTTTATCAATCAGTTTCAAGCTCTCATTAGCTTAAGGAGATAAGTCTACTTAATCCATCAAATCTTTTCCCTAATTACAGGTAACATAAGCGTACGTTACAGATAGTACTTTTTGTAACTATGTGCATCATTGTACATACACTGACGTAACGGACCGTTAGAAAGTACAATTGGTCCTATTCACTTTATAGGGTCCGAAAAATTAAACTTAAATACCCCTAAGCCTAGTATAGCACATATATGTACTATATTAGGCTTCAGATAGCGTGTATTAAGCCTTGGAAGGTTAGGTTGGGGTTAAATTTTATTTGTAACATCATAACAAAAAAAATTCCGGTTTGTCCAAATTTAATAGTACCGATTGCTACTGTTTAATTGCCCTTTACATCAATATGTGTAGAATGGTCGTCAGCGTTACTATAAGTACTACCCAGACAGAAGGGTGGGCTGGTAGGGCCAACCTCTCTTATGCTATTTAATTATAAATAGCACTTGGGAGGGATATACAGATAGACAGAGAGCTGGGATATGAATACGGAGAAGAGGAACAGCAAAGTATCGAACGCCGGCCCTATTAGAAGCTAAGTTGGCGTTATACCAACACACACAGGCACCGCTCCTGTGCCAGGTAAGTCCACTACGGGCTCACCATAGCCCGTGCTACTTGCCCCGCTCCTGTGCCAGGTAAGTTACGGGCTCACCATAGCCCGTGCTACTAGGAACTTGTTCCGAGTAGCTGAATCTACAACAACAACAACGTTATACCAACCAGTCTAAGTGAAACGAAGCTCAGTTTTGATGATCAACTCCCCCCCCCCCCCCCAAAAAAAAAAAATCCCTGACCAAGCAGGTTTGGGTACACCTGACAACTGTCTGGTGTATGCTGGAGAACCATTAATGTGTGTTAGAATACGTCATTACACGGGTAAAATGTCCTAGTCATCGGTACATTTATATTCATTATACAAGAAGGAAAATATCAGAGTTGAGACAAAAGTGCAGAGGATGGTTCTTGAGAGCTTTTAGATCAAAGGTGATGGGGTTAGCGCAGGGGGGCAGGCCATTCCTCAAGGTTGCACGTGGCTGCCACGAATTCACCAATATATCTGTGCATACTGTGATATACCCCGTTTATAATCAACAAATAATTATGCAAAACCCTGTCATTTCACGTAGTTTTCACCATTAATTAAATGTTTCATTGGAGGTGTAGAGTGATTGATGAATATTAAACCACCAAACAAGTGGCATGGGTATGAATAGCCCGTAAATAATAGTTCCCTCGTAGTGGCCTTGATATATATATTATATATATCGTAGGAGGGTTGCATAAGCACGGGGACAGGCAGCCAGGCTCGACCTTGGCTGCTGCGGCCCTGAAGAACCTTGATGCTACTCATGGCACCTCACACGCTCTCTCACACCTACACGGAATGAATATCCTCCACAGCACCGCTCCTGTGCCAGGTAAGCTACGGGATCACCATAGCCCGTGCTACTTGGAACTTGTTCAGAGTAGCTGAATCTATAACAACAACAATGAATATCCTCGCATTTTTTGTCTATATTTTAGAGAGTTGAGGATGAAAAGTCTCCTGAATGTTCATGTTTGAAGGCTAAATGCTCATCCTCCCACAGCTCATTTGAAGTCCTTATTTAACCTTTTTCCTAATTAAACACATTTCGCATTTGGGATGCTCTCGGACGTAGGTTCGAATCCTCGTCACGGCCCTTGTGGATTTGTACATTTCGCAGATCATCCAGGTCTCCAGTTACTGTTGGGTGTACGGGGTTCGAACCTGGGATATGCGCAGAGTAAGTGCCAGCTAACACTTCAAGGTTGACTGACAAGTCTTCCAATCAAGTACTAGTTAACTAGTTAAGTACTAGTACTAGTTAAGTACCAAGTCAAGTACTAGTTAAGGTTAACTCCTGGGATTTATTTTGACACATTTTCTCTGGACGTATTCAAGTTTATGTCCATTCTATAATAGAGACCAAAACTGAGCCGCGTAGATAAAACTAACTTACTGACGTCTTCGACGAGATAAAACAGGTTTAAGGTCTTTATTTATGTCTTTAACGTTATCCTTCACGCGCTCTGTGAAAACATGATGCTCATGTAATAATCTGTGCAGACGCTAGTAAGCCTCAGGGCCTAACATGATGATGTGCTTGAAGTAAATGATCCCCAGGACTGGACCTGTCACAGGATGAGTCCGAGGATGATCTAAGGGCGTACTTCATCTCCCAAGCCGACCTGAAAGAGTGTATTGTGAATTAGCCGCCACAGACAACCCCTCACCTCCTCCTGAGAGCAACACAATAGAAGAGCAACCTGCCGGCCCCCCAACCCAACCATGACTAGCCATCACCTTTATAATACAACAGGAAAAAGTCATCACCGGAAATGGCGGCGACCTTGATGTCTTCCCTCAGCGACGACCGCCGATCTCAACGCTCGTCCCCGACGATATGTACACAATCCCTGACCACATGTACACATATGTACACGAGTGTATATACGGCCTCTTGTAACCTTTCACCTTCACACGGATGGGTATACGCACCTATGTTCATGTGCACACGCATACATATACATGTACTCACCTATTTGGGTCTGCAGGATCGAGCATTAACTCTTGGATCCCCCTTTCGAGCCATCGGTTGTTTATAGCAATGACTCCGGGCCTATTTTCCTATCATATCTAGTTTTAAAATTATGAATAGAATTTGCTTCCACAATCTGCTCCTTAAGCGCATTCCATTTTTCCACTACTCTCACGCTAAAAGAAAATATGTGCATGTATATGTATGTACGAATATATATATATGTATATTCGGCGAGTATACACACACACACACACACACACACACACACACACACACACACACACACACACACACACACACACACACACACACACACACACACACACACACACACACAATGAATGGGTACATGCAAGTAAAGGCACTTTCTATCTGTCACTTTCTCTTCCACACTTTCTATCTGTCACTTTCTCTCCAGAGCGATGTGTGGAACCAGGATTATGTCTGAACATACAAACTCCAATGTACAATAATATATTGTTAATACGCGCAAGTTGCAGCGAGGGTCAGTGCAACACATGTTGCCATCTGTCACAATAATTAATATGTGCAGTTTTAATGTGATTAATGATGTACAAATTTCCGCTGAAGTTTAATTACTCCTTTTTGTGCCTTTTGTACTTCTTTTTATTTGTGATGCCACACGTAGGATGGGTGCACAAACTACCGCTTACAGGATGAGTATGGTATGCACAAACTACCGTTCACAGGATGAGTATGGGGTGCACAAACTGTGCATCCGTTGTAAGCCGTCGGCCCGTTGTAAGCCACAGCAAATAACCCGTCCGATTGATTGATGAAGATTAAGCCACCCAAAAGGTGGCACGGGCATGAATAGCCCGTAAGTGGTGGCCCTTTTGAGCCATTACCAGTATCAAGAGCTGATACTGGAGATCTGTGGAGGTGCGAATGCACCCTGCGTGACGAGAGATGTCTCCCGGACCAAGTGGTGACGAGATGGTCTAACCCGTCCTCCAAAGACCCAAAAGTGATTCCATGCACCCGCCAAACCCCCTGTTTATGAATGAAAATGATTTACACACGACTCACAACTGTTGACGTTCGAACACTTCCGGAACAAGTGCTTCACTGATGTCTTTTGTTCGAACCACAACGCTATAAATGCTTCAACCACGAAATACAAATACAAATAATCACCAACAGAACCAAAACACCTAACCTAACCAGTGCCTAAATATGCACAATATGCTAATATAATAATAATATTAATTTATATATGAGAAACGTTCTGTTTTAAATGAACAGAAAGTTAAAATTGAGGAATGTGTCTTTGGGGGTCGACCGCTGGATAGAATAGACTTGGCCCGAGGACGAGTTGCAAAGCAAGTGTGTCCCGGCTGAGGTGATAACTTGTATTGCACCGCCAGTGTTTCCCCTCTTCTTGCCTAGACTCATTGTGGAAGTTATATATTGGTTGTGACCTTTTCTAAGTTTTCCGCATACTTGAATGTCTCTGGGAAAATTACTTATGGCTGTAATGAATGAACGCGCTAGTGTTCCCTCGCAGGATGGTTTTGTTGTTAGCAGAGGTCAAACGGTCAAAGAATTTGACCTTTTTCTTGACGTTGGGAAACCATAGGAGGACGGGCTGCTACTGGACACCCCTGTCAAGACCGCACTGTCTATTTGTGGGTCCTCGGTTAGGTTAGGTTCGGGTACCTTAGTGCATCAGTGTGCTGTAAAGAATTTTGACGACAAAATGCGACGTCATTAGTATTTTTTCCCTGCCCGAAACGCTTTGCGTAATAGTGGCTTTAGGCATTGTATGTACTAGCTCTATCCATAAAGCCAACAAACTTTGTAAAATCTCTTTATGTATGTACCTTTACCTAAATAAAAATTATTATTTATTATTATTATTATTGTATCGCATATTGATGTTAAAACCCCAACGGACAACATATGATGTACTATAAACCATAACAACCACGTTTTCTATGTGTGAATCCCATCTGTTAGGTTCAGGTAGTTTAATACACTATTTTTGTGACGTTGTGACACCTCGAGAGGACGGCGTGATTCCAAAGGACAGGTTAGAGTATCAACATTTCCAGGAACAGAATTTTCACACTACTATAGGACGTTGTAGCCTAAGATAAAGAAATGGGAAGCGGTATATAGATATATATAAACGCTATGCGTACTAGTGGCTTTAGGTATTGTATGTACTAGCGCTATCTTTAAATTCCAACATTATGTTTGTAACTCATCTTCAATGTATGTACCTGAATAAAAAATCTAAATCTAAATAATTGTGGGTTACAATACACCAGCATTCACTCTAGCAAGAAGATGAGTAAGGAAGAGGTTTCATCAGGCGTTGTGACGCAGACGCCAGTGACGCGCACGGCTGGGGAGGAAATTGTTGCAGATAAGTGTAAGAGCTGAGCTGGCAGGATGTGATGACCACGTGGTGGGGAGAGTAGTTCATACTGACCACCGGGTGGGGAGAGTAGTGCATAGTGACCAATGGTAAGGGGAGAATAATGTATGGTGACCACAGGGTGGGGTGGGGAGAGTAATCGCGTGGCATGATGGGGAGGAAGAGTAGTGCATGATGACCGCGTGGTGGGGGAGGAAGAGTAGTGCATGATGACCGCGTGGTGAGGGAGGAAGAGTAGTGAGCAAGCGAGCCCCTTGGGTTCCTTGATGACACGCACAATCACTCACTCAAGGTGCGTCCATGACAATGCCATCTCGTGCTCTCTGGGTTTACGCACACACCCGCTTGTGCATTTACGCACATGCTTGTTGCACCCACACACACATGCTTGATGCAACAACACACATGTCTGTGCACCCACGCACATGCTTGTATATATGTACCTGTAACCAATGTTGTAACCCTTATTGTGTAATGAAGCTAGTTGTTTAGTCAGAGATGGTTTATTTTTGCATAGAGGCTGGTATTTTCTTCCCTGATCCCATGTATGACAAACCATCCTGTGAGATGGGACTATTAGATGGATTTATAGCTAGTTTTTGATCTACACTATGTAATCTTTCATAGCATAGATATTTGATCAAATTCAATGTAACTTACCTAACCTAACCCAACCTATCCTAACCTAACATAACTTAACATATCCTAACATAACATAACCTAACATATCCTAACCTAACCTAACTTAATCTAACCTAACATAGGTAAGTCAGTAATTCACATTCTTAATATAATAAAAGTATACTTAAGTATATTACTTAGGTATATTTATGTATACCTAAGCTTGTTAATAAAAAACAGACATTACATACATATATATATATATATATATATATATATATATATATATATATATATATATATATATATATATATATATATATATATATATATATATATTTTTTTTGAGATATATACAAGAGTTGTTACATTCTTGTACAGCCACTAGTACGCGTAGCGTTTCGGGCAAGTCCTTAATCCTATGGTCCCTGGAATACGATCCCCTGCCGCGAAGAATCGTTTTTTCATCCAAGTACACATTTTACTGTTGCGTTAAACAGAGGCTACAGTTAAGGAATTGCGCCCAGTAAATCCTCCCCGGCCAGGATACGAACCCATGACATAGCGCTCGCGGAACGCCAGGCGAGTGTCTTACCACTACACCACGGAGACTGTAATATATATATATATATATATATATATATATATATATATTACATATTACATATTACACCCACCAGGGACTCAAACCCAGCCAGCACAGTTGCTTCCCAACAACTGGCAAAACATAGTTCGCCTTACCCACTCCATCAAACTCAGACCCTTAAAGTGATGGAAATTTTGGGGTTTTTAACCCCCCAAATATCCCCACCCCCCCAAGAGCATTAGAGTGGTGAGGGGTTATTCACATATTTTTTTTAATCAAGCCCCCCTGCTTATATGGGAGAACTCATGTCTTATGTTGGACATGTATATGAGTGGGATTGGGTGGTTATAGATAAGAGCTGCCTCGTATGGGCCAATAGGCCTTCTGCAGTTACCTTTGTTCTTATGTTCTTATGTTATACACGTTTAGGCATGCATGTTATGCGAGTTTAGGCAAGTCTATGTGCATATATATATATATATATATATATATATATATATATATATATATATATATATATATATATATATATATATATATATGTCGTACCTAGTAGCCAGAACGCACTTCTCAGCCTACTATGCAAGGCCCGATTTGTCTAATAAGCCAAGTTTTCATGAATTAATGTTTTTTTCGACTACCTAACCTACCTAACCTAAGCTAACCTAACTTTTTCGGGTACCTAACCTAACCTAACCTATAAAGATAGGTTAGGTTAGGTTAGGTAGGGTTGGTTAGGTTCAGTCATATATCTACGTTAATGTTAACTCCAATAAATTTTTTTTTACCTCAAACAGTATGAAATGGGTAGCTTTATCATTTCATAAGAAAAAATTTAGAGAAAATATATTAATTCAGGAAAACTTGCCTTATTAGGCAAATCGGGCCTTGCATAGTAGGCCGAGAAGTGCGTTCTGGCTACTAGGTACGACATATATATATATATATATATATATATATATATATATATATATATATATATATATATATATATATATATATATATATATATATATATATATATGTTACATGTTTTGTAACCTTTAAATACACAATAAAGAAAAAAAAAAAAAAAAGGAAGGGGGTGGTAGGAGAAAAGCACACAGAAACTGTATTGGAGGGGACCTACATTCCCTCCAATGCGTTATGTGTGGTTTCCTCCGAGGCTATGGGTCCCCCTTCTTCCAGCCAGAGGTGGTACTCCCTTCCCTATATATATATATATATATATATATATATATATATATATATATATATATATATATATATATATATATATATATATATATATATATATATATATATATATATATATATATATATATATATATATATATATATATATATATATATATATATATATATATATATATATATATATATATATATATATATATATATATATATATATATATATATATATATATATATATATATATATATATATATATATATATATATATATATATATATATATATATATATATATATATATATATATATATATATATATATATATATATATATATATATATATATATATATATATATATATATATATATATATATATATATATATATATATATATATATATATATATATATATATATATATATATATATATATATATATATATATAATATATACTCATTATATCACCATTGATATATGATATATGGCCGAATGACAACAGTTACAGTATATTCTAATATTTATTTTAATACATGGAAGCACGATACCTGTGTATTGCATTTTGCAAGGGTTTTGGGTAAATTTAATAGTTGAAATTGTTCTCAAATCCACTTACATGCATAGCGTGAACTATTAATTATAATCACTGAGTTATAACATGTTAGATATTTCCTTAGTATCACTGATTTGCCAATATATTTATAGAGTCTGTGGAGGTCCAGCGGTATATACCGTTAATTATTTTACCACACACAGTTACCTGCCCCAGTTCTCAGTTCACTTGAAATATTGAGGAATTAAATGATTTATTCATTCAGCAAGCTTGCATTCATATAGAAATTTGTTATAGTCGACTCTGTATGTATATAATGTATAAAGCCGGAATCCATTACCGGCAACAGTGTATTGATTTTTATTTTTGTTATTGTTTTGTCCTGAGGTGCAGCCATGAGCAGCGGTCACGCGGTGATTGGCCAACACGTGGCCGTGACGTCACTAGGCATTATGGCGGGCTCCCACACACACGCCGACCACGATCCCACCATGTTTTTCATTTCTTTGGTTGTAGCAGTTACTGTGATCGTGTTAATATGGCTCATACGGCGCGTGAGGGACAAGGACGTCGACCCAAATGAACGAAGCAGTAAGTAAAGTGCTGTGGTAGGGGAAATGTGCGTATATTGAAGTTTTCCCCTGGCTGGAGGGGGGAGGGAACGAAGTCAACATGTAATATTTACATAGGTGTATGTATTTTGGGATTTTTTCCGGTTACTGCATTTGTTGTGCCTTATTACGGACTGGTGCCGACCGTAGGATTTTTAAGATGATGGGGAAATAGTGTGTTTTGTGGTAATTGGAAGGATTAGCGGTAAAGTTAGGCTTGAAACCGGGTTTGCACTTCCTGCATTCCGACTGCTCACCCGCGGGAAACTCGACCCCTCTCAGCCCCGTCTGTGTGTGTCGGCCACTGTAGGCATTAACCTCTCTATAGTACTTTGTGTTATTAATGCGGGGACTATGAGTGTGGCTATGTGGAATGTGAGAGTAAGATTATAAGGTCGGTTGTGTAGGTGGTGTGAGCATGTGTGTCGGTTAACTGTTCATGGCCTTTTATTAGGTCATTCACATAGGTCCATACAGTTCCTGTTTGGCCATATATATTTCCTGCAATATGCTTTGTTCATAACTGTGTGCTCCAAATTTTTAAGTCCATTATTACCTTAGTTGAATGGTTATAATGTAATGGTACTTAGTTGAAAAGTACAATTTAAGTGGCTTAATATGGAGCCAAGTAAATATGCAATGCAGTACTTGGATGACTGACTAATTAGCATGAAAAAACTATTTTAGTTAGTAGTGGCATAATTAACTTGTAAATCATTGTTTATGGAAGTGTGTTGTAACCAACTTAAGTTGGTTAACTTATTTATTTATTTATATAATGTATATTCAAGAAGGTACATTGGGTTTGTGAGAGTACATAGCATGAAGTGTTTACATTTTTCTAAAGGCACTAGTATGCACAGCTTTTTGGGCATGTCCTTAATCTAACAGATAATATTAAGTAGGTAAATTCTAGCAAAATTTATAAAATGTTAACAGGTACATTGTAAGAAAATTTGATAAAGATTAGTAGGTATATACTGTATTAAAGCACATTAATAGCTTTGATAGCATTGTTAGCTTGATTGATAATTTGACAAAGACTAGTAGGCACATTAAAGCATATTGATAGCACACATAAGATGACAACAATGATCTCAGTGGTAAAGTTGTATGGCTTAGATACATATATTGGGGGATTGGGTAGTGCACACTATTAACTGACACTGACATATTAACAATATTATAATATTAATTGTTACAATAGACAATACTGTATTAACTGACAATAACTGACATCTGACTCTCAAATTAAATTTTTTTTCCCATAACGTAATGGTGCTAGTTAACTGTCTGACTGGTGCTGCCTGACACTCATATTTGTGGAGAATTATTTTCATCTAATATTGAGAGACTGATGCAGATAGGAAAATCACCACAAAACGTGGACTGTAATGAACCAACCCGTCCTCTTAAAAATGTCACTTTTCGCTCGTATGCGTGCTATGGCCAAATTTGGATGTAATTTGAAATGAAATCGACTCACAACAGTGACGTACTGTTCCGTTTTCTGTTTGAGTCGTCTGGCTTACTCGGCCAGCTTAGAAAAGGATTCTTTCCATTAACGTTTTTCATACCATTTTCAAACTTTGAGAATTTCCTGCCCACCTAACCTATCAGAGGGCCTTTAACTTACTGTTGTTGAAAAAAAAAAAATACCAAATTTATATTAATTTTTTTTCATTTTCAAATAAGTCCTTATTCGGCCATACAGGCAAACGGCCAAAAGCGACGTTCTTTTAAAGAGGACAGGTTGAATGAACAATCACAAAGAAGCTGAAGAAAGATTCATACCACCATTGAGGAATAAGGAAACCAAGTAGAGCATTATCCAGTGGTTGGACAGGCAGTTTTTGGCAGCAAAGAGAAGCAAGGAAGCAAGCATGGTAGGAATTAAGAGCACTAAACAGAAGACAATGACGAACACGCACACAGAAACTAGAAGTGGAGGTGCATAGACTGAATGTTCCCCGCCTCATGGTTCCCGTTCTACTTGACGGGGCAGGTGTGCGAGACGAAGACGTCCGTTATGACGTCCTTCGCCATACCTTCCACTTCATTCGTCATGTCTATGGGCTGAAGTGACTGTAAGGACCCCATCCCTCTATTTCCCAGTATCAGGCGGCCGGGGCACATCCAATCTCTCGATTGTTTTTGCCCTTCAATCAAGGACAGCAAAAAACAATGACAGTATTCAAAAAAGAAAACCAGCTTAAGCTGCACTATATCATGTGATGGGTTGTTCTATTGCAGCTATACTGAACCAAGGTAGTATGGCTCACCACATAAACAAAAATGCTGCTATTGGCCCTTTGCAGTGTGGAAGTTGCAGGTGGAAACAAGAAAATCATCAAATAAAAAATTAAAACAATTTACTGAAATATTTACGAACAAAAATTACACCTGAGAACACTTGGCTGTTATAACAGAACAAATAAAATAAGTAAATGAAAGTTTAAATCTAATACAATACAAGAGTATATTGTGCTGAAGACAACTACCATACCACCACAGCATCCGGCACATGACAAAGGCTGAAGGCAGACGGCATTACAGGAGGTTAAGGTGATCCAAGAGCACTGAGAGAGAGACTGGCTCTTCAGGGAGGTGGTGTCCTTTATATAGTCTGGTAGTGACGACTCATCCGGTGTCAACACAAGGTTGACATCATCTGGTCAACTAGCAAACTGCTTGTTTGTGGTTGGCAGAGCCCTTTTATATAATCTGGTAATGATGACTCATCCGGTGTCAACGCAAGGTGGACATCTGGTCAACTAGCAAACTGCTTGTTTGTGGCATGCAGAGCCTTTGTGTTGAGGCACCCCACTGCTAGTTGAAGGCAGCTAACTGCTTGTTTGTGGCATGCAGAGCCTTTGTGTTGAGGCGCCCCACTGCTAGTTGAAGGCAGCTAACTGCTTGTTTGTGGCATGCAGAGCCTTTGTGTTGAGGCACCCCACTGCTAGTTGAAGGCAGCTAACTGCTTGTTTGTGAAGGCAAACTACCGGTTAGCGGAGGCGCTCGGCTTGTCACTGAGTTGTATCAGGCCGTGCCAGGCCTGATACAGAGAGAGGGGGTACAGAGAGGTGGAGAGGTGGCAGGACTGATGACTCATCTGGGCTGGTGTAGAGGTGAACTTCCAGGGCAGAGGCATTGAGGGTGAGGGGAAAAGGCAGTTCCACTGCTATGCAGAGGATTCACGTGACACTCCAAATAGAAGGAAGGTGACTGAATGACTAGGTGATCATGCTACATAAAATAGAAGTGACCACTGTGAATGATAAGGAAGTACAAAAAGAACCTTACAAAAGTTTCCAGGAACACAGGAAAGGCTCACTTAAGGGGGCGTTATTCACAAAATATGCAAAAAATGAAAACTCGTTCAATTTCAATCAAACTTTTTTGACAAGTTGTATATGAAAAGGGTTTCATTTGGTCCAAGTCTAAGCATCGTAGCATAAATAGGAAGGGTGAAAAAAAATATTGAATTGTCAAAAATTTTCAAAAATGGTCAAAAAAGATTATCAAACAAAAATGTCAACTGAAATCATGTCTATGACTCAGCTATCACAATAGCATATATTAAAAACAAATTATAATTAGTTTTATTAACAAAAAATTTAGTTAAAAAAAAAAGGCAAATTTTACTTTTTTTTTTATTTTTATCTCTTTTGTTTATAGGGCGATTTGCATGAAACTTATACACCTGACTGCATGTATGCCTATCTGTAAGGGTGCCAATTTTGGAGGGAATTGGTTGATGTCAACTTCAGCCACAGAGGGCAACACCTTAGACTTTATTTTTTACTTGAATGTTTGTTACTTGAAAATGAATATCTTTCATTTTTTATGCAATTTACATGAAACTTACACATTATATATAAATTTTATGTCTCTAAAATCGTTAGCAAGCGTTTTTATCTTGAGTTCTTTATTGACTTTATAATAGCAATAAACATGATATATGTGCATAATTTTGGGGGGGAACTTAGACTATTTGTATTAGGAAAACTAAAGACGTTTTGGAAAATCTTTTGCAAGAGATCCTTTATTATATGTTAATGTGTCAGAAAAGTGTCATAGAATGATTATATCTGAAAGGTGTGGTTGTAAACTTACACTTGAAAATGTGTAAAATTCGTTGAAAAAAATATTAAAAATCCTCCTTACTATTTAGGCTACAGTACTGAAACTTCGAACAAGTGCAGCCCTTTTCATATACAACCAGTCAAAAATAATGGTTGACACTAAACAACAACTTTAATATACCCGAATAACGCCCCCTTAAATGGTAGTGACACCAGAAGTTATAAAGAAATGAATTGGATATGACAAAAGTTTGGACCACACAAGATGGGTACAAATTACTTTGAAGCCAAGATATCTGCCAAATGATTTTAAGATTGCCCAGTTTAACCTAACTTTTTTTTTAGTTAAAATGAGCTTTGTCGAAATGCCTGAGTGATTTGATTGTACCACATGTCATATTGGAAAGCACTGTTTAGTCCATTTCCTATAGTATTTATCTCTGGGAAAGGGAGAGCGCTCAGATGAAAAATGGCTGACTTCAGGTCAGTCTACAAGAAAGAGGAAAAGATAAGACCTGCTGAACAGTTTCACTAGTAAGCATGCACTACAAATTTCTAAGAGTGATCAAAGTAGGCTAGGTAAATGGAGGTAAATCCTCCTTGACAAATATATTAGTTTTAGAATAAGATAAAAGATGTCAAGTGAGAGAGGAATGGGCAGTTTGCATAGTCTTCAATTGTCAGAAAGCACTTAAATTAATACTGTCCCATACAAAAGACCAATTTAAGCTAGAGAAGCAGGTTAGAGTCTAGAAGAGTTCTAAAGTGGGTGAGGGAATATCTCACTGGAAGGAAGTAAATGAGTTATGGTGAGAACATGAATATCAACATAGAAGGATTACAACTGGAGTACAAGGATCTGTGTTCATCCATTTTTCTGTTAACAGCTTGATAAGAAATTACTTCCTTCGTATCACTATAAAGATGGAAAACAGAGAAGAATGAGGATTTTGGGGGAAGTTTGTGATATCCTGCAAAATTATCTTGACACTTCTGAAGTGGTCTGATAAGTGGCTGCTGTACAGCAGTATAGTGAAAAGGAGATGTGCATACAATAGCATATGCCAAACTAGCCAGTGTCCCTGTATTCATTATCTTCAACAGGCTATATATAACCTGCAAGGAAAACTCTCCTATATAACTGGACCTCAACATACTTTGAGGGAAGGTATAGGGGAAAATGATGACGGCATAAGATTCCAAGGGAAATTGATAAAGTAAACAAGAATTGTTGAAAGTTAGGAACAGCAGAATGTGAGGGGGCATATTTGGAACTGGATACATTTGAGTCACTGATATAAAAAAAATTATTAGCCATCAATAAGTAGAATCGATCAAGTAAATGTCATCAACACTTACTCAATTTACAATTTTACATTTTTTGATGTGCACATTGGTGTGCTATTATTCACTGGGTTCTGTTAGGAAATTGAAAAGCCATCTTCCTATTTACCCAGTAATTTTTTTTTAATGCATTTTGTGTGCAGTAACTATGGTCACATTTGTCAAAGGCCTTTGCAGAATGTGTGTCAATATATTGTATCAGCATTTTGCTTGTCTTCTATAATGGCTAATGCTTGTCATAGTGGTCTAGCAATTGAGAAACAGGAGTGCTCTATTATAAACGTGTGTTCTGGGTTATTTAGTCGCTGTGATTCAAAGTATTTTGTGATATTACTTCTTGGTACTCTTCCAAAGATTTTGATGACGTGTGATGTTAATACTATCAGTCTATAAATTGTCTTCTGCTTTATTCTCTCCTTTATGGAGTGGTGCGCGCTCTTCTATTTTTTTAGTATGTCAAGGATAATGCCAGTTTCTAGGCTCCCTACCCGAAAAATTTAAGAGTTAACAATACGTGTAGTGGCTTTTTACAATTCTTGATGAATATGGAATTCCAGGAATTGGGATGTATTGTTAAATTTCCTTGGCTTGATACAGTATGAAGAACTCATTTTGTAAGATTGTGCCAGTTGAGTGCATGAATGCACACAGCTGGCCTCCTACCTAGCCTTGTTTATTCCATAGGTAAAATATAGTATAGTTCCAATGGACCTGGACACTCAGACTAATTATACCTGGACGATGTAATTATCTTAATGTTTTAGAAAAGTAAATAGTTTTTTATATTCAAAATACACACTCGGGTATTTGTAGGATAATCTGGGCCCTTAATCTAGGTATTGTTTTCCATACTATTGAAGTTTCAATCTACATTTTCTACATTTTTATTACATTTCTAATAAAACTAGGGAGTGCTCTTCCTTGTACTGTATACGATGAAAAATCATTAAAAATGACTGACTCGCTTCTTCAGGTTGCACTCTGGGGCGGATCTCCTGGACCCTGTCCTTGGTGTTTCAATTCGGGTTTAGTTTCTTTGGAGCCTGCTCACCTTGGGTGTTAGTTTTTGTGAGTAGCCTGGGATGAGGCCTCTAACAGTGCTAAGTGTACTGGCATAAACTGTATTCACCTAGTTGTATTCACCTAGTTGTGCTTGCGGGGAGTTGAGCTCTGCTCTTTTGGCTCGCCTCTTGACTGTCAATCAATTTTTTTTCGCACCCCCACACCCCAGGAAGCAGCCCATAACAGCTGTCTTAACCTCCCAGGTACCTGTTTACTGCTAGGTAACAGGGGCATCAGGGTGAAAGAAACTCATAAGCATTTAATATGCTTATGCATATTGAATGTCTTTGTGAAGTAGCTGCTACATTATTGCTAATGTGGTGGCTACAGGCAGTTTGTATAGCTTACAGGTTACAGTACAGGCACCTTGTGATGACTTTATTGGCTTGCATATGTCAGGCTGCAATAGCATGGCTAAGAACTTATCAGGAAAGCCAAGCTTTAGACTGATATATAAGTAGAAAATTCAAAGCAGACCTTAGTGTAACTACAGGCAGGTGGTGTTACCCCTCTTGAACATAACATCCTAAGAGTGTTCATAGAAGAAACCCCTCCAGCTAGCCACATCTAAAAATGTTCTAGTCAGTACTCTTCCGCTTATGCTGACCTTGGACCATCTTGTGTGCATTCTTTATTCCTAAACTTTCCATTCAAAGTTCATATCATTCCATTTCCTAAACTTTCATTTCCAAAGTGTTAACACTTTGGCGTCCTGATGACGCTTGTGGCATCCTAAAAACAATACTGTACATGCAGAGTGGAGGATGACGCTCTTGGCGTCATGCGTTAATTTTTGCTTATTCTTATCAAGGTTAAACATTGTAAGTGAAAGAGTTTAACATTGGGTTATGTGCTCACCGGCAATGCTCGGCCTACCTTTCGGTGCGATGTGGGTTGCCTGCCAGGCTTGCAAATGTGCTAATAAGGCTTGTCTGTGATCACTTGAATCCACCCTGCACATGCATACTACTTTTGAATACTGTCTTTTCTTATTGTAAAAAATATCCAAATAATTACTGTATAAATTAAACATATATGGTGGAAGTAATTACTGACTACTGGAATTAGGCAAAGCATCGAACAAAAAATCAGTAAGATATTCCTAAGACAGTGTACAGTGCCTTAAATTGTAACTGTTGATTTCAATAGTAAATGCATTTGCTGCATTTTATCTCTAAAGGACTAACCTAGTTGAAATAAGTGCGGACTCTGACCAATGACTGTGTGTGTCTTATCAGTGTCTATTCCAGTTTGCTAAGTTCCTCTGCAATTTACCTTTGTAGCATATTCACTTTTAAAGCAAATTATTCAGACATGATGCTTAAAATAACTCCCTCTCCATTGGGCCTCAGACCCCAGAAAGAATTCCAATGATATAGTGTAATTAAAATGCAAGGTACAGTATAATCTTCCCAGGACATGACAAGAATGAATCTTCAGGTGGACTGTACCTTGACTTAATGACTGTTGCCAAGCCCTTCAATATGTAACTAAAAATTACCCTACAGTATTGTTACTGAGAAAATCAAGAGCCATGAGGAGGATTTGAAGCTATGCTCTGGGTACTCCCAAGGACGCACCTTGGACCTATACACCACGATATAGTAAAAACATTGCCACCTGGGATTCAATCGAATCTTCTAGTTTGATTTTTTAAATTTTATTACTGCTACAGAAGTTACAATTAAAGACAGGAGTTTTTTTTTATACCTGTATAGTCAGGCTGGTCTGGTAAGCCTGTTTCGCTTGCCTGTCGGTGGAGCAGACACCATTTTCCAATTCACCAAGAGTTTGTTACCCAATTCTCTCCAGCCCACCAAGTGGTTCCGGTCCACTGTGTTTGAGCAAGGTCGTATTGTAGAAGATTTACATAGTACAGTATATATTTGTATAACCCAGTTGTTGAGTAATGCTTTATGAAGAAAGTGCTGAAAATTGTTTAAAATATACAGTAATTAATTGGATGGGTTCATTTTAAGACCATAAAAAGTGGTCAATCACACATGTACTATACTTGACATCTATCTAAAACTTTGTTGCTTAATAAAATATTGATTCAAGTAAAACTTGTTCAAATACACAAATGTGTTTTAAATGCTCTGGTCCATTGCTCAATGGGTGTGTTTTGAAAGAAATTAAGCAATATTTGTATTGTTCATGATTATTAGGGTTTCCATTTTGTTACAATATACAGTATAGTATACCATTTTGTAGAAAATGTGAATTATAAACTCTGGTTCATAAATTTTATTGATAGAACCTCATTTAATATACTATACGACTTCACAGGTCAAAAGAAACGGGCCTCGGAATCTGCTTTATCGAAGAATGTCAACCAGAAAGCATCCAAGAAAAAGCCAGCAGCAGCAGCAGCATGGCGGAAGCCTGCAAGCTCAGTGCAGTTTACTCACCCTGAATTGTTGACGTCTTTGAAAGGACATTCTGGATCTGTCACAAGTGGCGGCTTCTCCTCAAATGGCAAACATTTTATCTCGGCAGCTGATGGTAAGTAACGTAAATTTGATGTTTAGGTTTTTTCATTTGCATTTTATTAAATCTTATCAATGTATATAGGTAACCTTCATGTCTATATTTTTGTTCTATGTTATGAGGTTATTCATATGCAGGCTTGTTGAATAACTTATGAGGTTATTCTAAATCTATAAACACTTATTTATCTGGCCTTCGGTCCACAAATACTTTTATCACATTCTGAAAGCATGTCCGACCTGTTGGAGGGGGGGGGGGTGTCGCAGTCCTGTAGAGCCAAAGAGAAAATTGTGTACCACTGCAATACAGTAATATAATAATTATACAGTGAAATAATGATTATTGACATAAATTTTTTTTAATGCACACTTTAGGTATGATGTGGATATTACAACCTACATTTAGTTGACACAAATAAAAAGCAAGATTTATTTTCTTTAGGCTTGGTCTAAAACTGTAAACATTTCTTTTCCTCCCGTCCCACAAGAGAACAGAAACCTGGACAGCTGTTCCTGTAAACTGCAACCTGGTTGCATCTTTAAGTCCATTCTTCATTGTCTTGACTGCATTATTTGCCAAGCCATTTGAAGCCAGACGAGATGAATGGATTTGGCTTTGACACCATTGTACTTTATGAAGGTGTTGGAACTACTCACTAATGAAGAATGGTCTATTGTCCATGATGACCATCAGTAGTGAAGTCAGTCAGTGCTGCAATAGATCTACTGTGGTCTGCCATATGGTGTATCAAATCAATTTTGAGTAGGTATCCACTTTAACCAGGAGCATATATGGCTTTTGTTGGCACTTTGAAAAATTTGTTTGCAATACCAGGAGCTTCACTCTGAGGGAGCCACTACTGCTTAATGAGTGGTTCTGATTTCAATGGGTTTAAGAAACAAGGGTCATCAAAATGAATTTTGTGCAATGATTAGATATTCCATGTAAGAAAACCTCATTGTTTTCTTATGATTCATTTTTGCTTTAGCAAGATTTCTATTCAATATCTGATTCAGCATAAACTTGAAATTTTAAAATCCTATGATAGGATTTTAAAACAAACATTTTAAAACGACATTTTAAAACAGGATTTTAAAACAGCAAATTTTTGTTGGGCAGCATAACCCATTGGCAACCATTGTTGTATTTTATATTTTGGTTCTGAAATGTAATTTAATTAATGGTCAGGAGAGTCAGGCCTGGCCCTGGGCTGTAGATGAACTCTCAGATCCCATCCAGGTACAATCCAGGCAGAGACCAAAAAGTTTATTCACAAATGAGACTAATGAAGTTAGGGAGTGAGGTGGGCAAGAAGGCTGTAATTACAATATAAGAGGGAGGCTGTTACAGGAATTAAAAGGGTGTGTGTATATATGCATAAAACTCGCTTCATTAGTCCAGTTATGTATTTTGCGTTAAGGGTTTTGGAGATTACGAAATTATATTTTTTTAGAAAATTTAAAATCCACTTCATCCAAAAACTAATTCATTTTTGTTAAGGTCTTGGTAATTGTGGCCATCTTGGAGTTTTTAAAATGGCCACCATTTTGGTGGCCACTTTTAGCAAGGTTTCTGCAATATCTTAATTTGTAAGCAATGTAGCTGATGAAGATGGCTATACAGTACACGTATTGTAAGGGTCAATAATCTAATTGAATAAATTACAATTATCTATATATGATAAAAAGACGAGTACATTTACCTGTTCGTTATCATTTAAAAAGTTAAATAGTATAGAACATACAAGTACAAAAGATTTGTACTGCCTGTAACAATAACTTCAAGCCTATGTCAAACAGTGAGAAGAATATGTTCTACGCAAAACTTGCTACTGTATTGTAGTTATCAATCTTGGTTATTACTCGCTCATCTTGGACATGTTTATTATTCATTTTTCACTGTTTTTGCACTGGGTTGTTGTTTTCTGCACAGTAGTTACAGGATGAGAGCTACATTTGTGGTGTGCTGTCTTCCCAGTACTGGCATATATAACTTTTTGGAACTACTTTTAACTTGTTCCACTCTCCTGCCCCATTTGTGAATGTGAATTTTCTTACTTTTTGGCAGCTTTGTTTAGCTTAAATCTATGATGTCTTGTTCTGGAAGTTCCAAGTTACCTGTAGGACTCTTTTTAAGAATGTCATCCTTGCATTGGAATCTCACCATCTTAATGATGGCCTCAAGAGCAGGAGGAACATGAGTCATGGTGTTGCAACTGGTCATCCGTGTAGTAACTGTTCATTGGGTCATGTTGACCCTGATGGCCAGTGCTCACCTATCCCCAACCTCAAGCCTATAAATGTGCTGCTTGAGGTCAGTATGACCTTAGGGCTGTGCTGCTTGAGGTCACCAACTGTGACTTTAGGGATGTGCTACTTGAGCTTCACGGCCTGGCCTGGGTTCGTATCCTGACCAGGGAAGATTGACTGGGTGCCAATCCTTAACTGTACACCTCTGTTCACCCAGCAGTGAATGGGTACCTGGTTGTTAAACGATTTGGCAGATCGTATTTCAGGGAAAATTAAGATTAAGGACCTGCCTGAAACGCTATGCATGTTAGTGGCTTGACAAGAGTGCAAGTACTCTTGTATATACTGTTTAGTTTAGTTCATTTATTATGGAAAGTGGAAAAGGTTACAGAGGCACATAATGGGCTCAGGGACTGAACCCCACAATTCATTTAGCTAAGCAAGTTACAATCTTGATGAGCTAGTTACAAAATTCAGTACAAGTCACATCATCAAAGGGTTCGAGATCATGTATATACTGTATAATAAAATAAACAAAATATGAATTTGGTCTGACTGCGCTGCATAAATAGTATATATTTTAGAGTATTGCCTAAGATTTAAAAGTCCCATGGATACACAAGGCTTACATCAGCTTTCTCAGGGCTCCAATAAACAATCTCCAATTTTTTTTTTTAAATTACGGGGACTGTTCTTAGGTGTTAAGCCTTCCTACTGAAGGAGGAACCAAGGCTGGTGCATGCAGTGTGAGCTAACACCACCACTGTTCAGCTCGTGACAACAGCATCACTTAATACCTAGGCTGCACCATTGATTATACCATGCAACACCCAGATGACAAAATAAAAAAAAAATCTAACATTGTTTTCTCTATAAAAAAATTCTTAACTTTTTTGCCTAATAAAAAATGTTAAAATTAATTCCCTCACATGGGGGAAAATAAAGAACAAACTCAGATACTTACCATGGCTGTAGCAGGGCTGAGAAATGGACCTATGATATCACGACATGCTTGCTCCTTTGCAAATATCCCAGGCAGGTCACGCGTGACACTCAATTTTCTGGGAGTTGCCCAAATTAATTTTTTGTTACATTATATTTCACATATTTTATTCAAACTTTTTACACAAATTGTTCATTGTTGTCACTTGATTTTCTAATATAATAAAATATGCAGAACATCGATGCACATAATTGTCACTACATGCAATCCAAAATGTCTCGTTATATTTTACACTTGCATATTCAGACTTATTATTTACATGCTTATGCTCCAATATGTAACACTCTGAAGTTCTGCAGGGTGTGATAGTCTGTGAAGCACTTGGGTGGAAGGGTGGCAGGTGGGTAGCCAGCAGTGAGGGAGCGGGTGGTACATTGGGTGGACAGCACGGCGGGAAACAGAGATATCAGACTAGGACAGACTGGCTTATAAATCACACGATCCATTCCTCAGCTCCCCTCCCCCCCCCACTCCGATTCCATCCTATCCTATCACCGTACCCTCCCAGCTATCCCACAACCCTCTAGCCACATTTAGATGGTTTGTCTAGATGGGACTATTACTGTATGGTTATGATTCTTGGCTACCATCCTATCTGCTGGAGGCCTGGGAGGCAGACTGCCTGAGTGCCTGACATCAGACTTGTATTGTTTACTAACTGTCAGTGGTTGTGACTGTGAATGCCTGACTGGGTGTGACTGGCTTCTGCTACACAAGATTGTGAAATCTGGCAGGAAGAATGTAACCTTGGCCTAACGAGGGCAGTGTTATCACAAACCCAATAGTGGCCTCCCATTTAACAAGCACCGGGCTCGTTGTGTAAGGTGTTACTGGTGTAAGGATAATTTGTGTTGGGAAAAGAATACTTGTACAGTACTTAACCTTCCTTAACAAGAGTAAGCTTGGTGTGCAACAATGAATTACATTGAATTAACATAATTTGGATTTGGGATCGAGCCTATGCTGCCATATTATCATCTGACTAAAATACTTCATCGCTCAGTGTGTGTATTTACTCTGGGTTTCATTACAGTTCTTGTCCCTCACATCAAGCCCTGGCTGCCAAGGTGTGAATGCCTTGTGACTATATTTTATATATACATATATCTTAACTATGTAACTACTCCTCAAGTATAGTTTCAAAATACTGTAGTCATAATATAAATTTATACATTATTTAAAATATTGCCCTGTGAATTTCTTTTGATATGAAGTTTGCTGTTGTACTGTAGATAAGCAGGGTTAATACAGTGCACTCTGCTTAGTGAAGTTAAAGCTTCATTTAAATTTTCTTGTTTTTTTTTTATAGATACATTGCTGTTTTAAGTTTTATTTTTTCTTAACCTTTCATTAAGCAGAGTTCACTGTATTTTCTGCAGTTGGAAGTGGCGGACGCTTTGATCCTGGCGGAAGATTTGGGAAGGTGAACTCTAATGAAAATAATTTCGTTCTGGAGCGCACCATGGACTACCCTCTTTCTGAAGGCAGCAGCAGCAGCAGCAGCAGCTTGGAGGAGGTTGACACATCATCTGTTAGCAGCAGCAGCCACATTGCCACCAGCAATGCTCCTTCAGACATTGAAGATTGCATGATTGCTTCCAATAATTCAAAAATGTCTCGAAGGCAGCGCAAAAATAAGAACAAGAAAAGTAGAGGTCAAGGAAATTTGTCAAGTCAAGGTGGGGCATTAAAGATTGGGAGTGAAAGTACCCAAGTGCTTTTTGAGCACCTTGACAAAACGGAGGAACAGCTGTATGAACTTT